GTTTCATAACAAGGAGTATATTCATTGAGATGTGATATGTCATGGATGTCTGTCCAGCCCAATATTGGTTTTTTCTGTACAAAAATACATGTAGGTTGGACAGGTTGAATAACGGCATACTTCTAATACAAGTCCAATCTAAGCTCAATATTCTAAGACATACAAACAATGAGATAGCTCTTTTCAGTTAATGGAACAGAAACACAGGGGAATCTGAAGTCATAACATATAACGATAAAGTGACTGTACTGTGGTATAAAATTTAGTAATTTAGTAATTTAATTTAAAAATAATTATATTGCTTGGTTTTGTAAATCATATCTATTTTTTTCTAATAAAATTTGTCTAAATCCTGGCTGAGTAAGATGCATAATTAGATCTAATATAGAGTTCATGTGTGGTAGCACATGGTTTTGATAAACAACTTACCCTAAATAATTCTTTAAAGATTACATGGTTAAAATCATGTTTTTAACAACCCCATCTGGAGGAAGTCAGTCACTTCCATACATATCAATCATTCTTGTACAGAAAAGCAAGTAAAAAACCCTTTCAAACAAATATTAGACTCCTCTGTACAATTTTTCTTTCCAATGTAAGTAAAAGTTCCTTGATAAGACTTTCTATTACTTGACTAAATGTCCATGTAAAAATAACTTTCCATACATTCCTGAGATTATGCTTTGTAGAGGAAAACTTATTCTCATCCATGCATGGCCCAAACCTCACCCTATAAAAAAGGGAAAAGAAAAAGGACATTTTATGCTCCAGTAATGTTATAAAACCATGGAGTATATAAAACCAAAAAAAAAGGCAAAACTTGACAAGAATTCTGAAAGATCAGTCAGAAAAAATCAAACCCAAAATTCTCAGAAAGTTACATTCTACTCTTAAAAATGAAAGATTTGGTAGTTGCAACCTTGGAAATCTCGAGGTGTTTTAAAATTTTAGGATCGCGTCCCCACCCCCTTCGTGCCCCAGTCTTACCCTCCATGAACGATTCGCCCAGATGAAAAAAATAACTCCGCACGTGCAAGAATATCATCCTTGCACAGAAACCCTCAATTCCTTAAAATGAATATGAAATTTACTAGATCTCTCTTCTGCCATGAAAAAATTATATTGATATAAACGCGAGGTTCGTTCTTCATTCGGAAAACTAATATTAGGTTACTTGAATATTTTTGGATACAGTAGCGAAATCATGACGTGGCTTTAAGCTGTGTTTTATATTACTCACCGACTTTATCGACATTTTTGTCTTTTCTCCCGACATCCACGCGTAGGGCACTTACTTCTTCAACGACAGAAACCCGGTAATCAGTTAACGAGAGTCCATTTTTTCCAGTATTGGAAACAGATTGATTGCGATCTTCTTCCCCTTGTGGACATTGTTGTTTAAGGAAAAAGGCATTTTTGGGGCTGCTTTTCTCCGTGTTGGAGAGTTTCTTAACGTAGCTCCTGCTTATCGGAACTGAGGCCATTTCTAACAACGAGAAAAATACAAGTTTTTAAGGCTCGAACAATCGAAGGAATCTATTCATGAATCTGTTTCGTTGAACACTCACCCGAGTTTTTTCCGCGACCTATGTAAACACCAGACTGAAAATATTCACAGCACACACAGTGAATTTGAAATGACAGCAAAATGAAGCCAATCGGTGGAAACTTCTTCTTGAAACTCGATCATTTTTGGTTTCAGGTACAATCGTGGTTGCGGAATAACTAACCAGCCCCAAATCCTGCTGAAACAAAACAGAGTACGAAAAGTACAAAGGTCGGTCTCGTCAGCCAATCAGAATTCGGAACTTAATTTCAATGCCTACAAGGAATAACAACAACTAATTATATTAGTAGGCCACACACAGAAGCCCGTTTACTAATGTTCCTGAGGCTACGAAAATATCGACCGGACATTCAATTCGCTTGGAACCGTGCGAAAGTTCGTTCTGTTCAGATGGAGCTGATGACCGGATAAAGTTTGTGACATTCGTCAGTGGTTTTACCGTCTCCTCAAGCGCAGAACATTTCCTAATTCAGTGTTTTCCCTTCTTCGACGTCTTCGAATTACAGATAGATGTGCAGCGATTTTAACTTGATTTCTGACATTAAACAGACCGCAAACAATAAATCAACACGTTCCATTTTCGTATAAAATAAAATATGTTACTTAGCTTAGTTACCACGCATCCATGCAGCCACGCCTTCACCGTACAAAAATTTTAACAAACCGTGGTGGTCAAATTAAGACTGCACCGGCCAAAAATTCGTCCTTGATTTTGGTGTTCAAATTCTTGAACGCTTAAGCGTCCAAATTTTCGTACGTTTGGCGTGGTTCCATGTGAAAGAAACGCCTAAACGCACGAATTTTTGGCACCGGTCGAAGACTCGTCCGGCACAGTGTACCCCGAGAAACGCTTAATAAAATTAAGGTTTTTCCCGAGTGGCAACGAGGTGTGGCAGATTAATGAGGACTCGTGGCCGAGGGACATTTTAAGGCTTCGGTTACCGAATCACTTTTTTTCTGGGAGGGGAAAGGAGGCTGATTCTCCTGGTTTTTCCTCTCTGTATTGGAACTGTGTCAAAAAAAAAATATTTGTTTCAAGAAAAGACAGGGTTGGAGACTGCTAAAATTTTCCGTTACTACATGTAAAAGTGATGAGTTTCCTCTAATTTAATGGCACGTGGAAAACTACGGACCGCTTATTTGTGTCAAGTTTAATAGCCTGTTCCAGGCTTTCAGTCAAAGGAGCCGATTGTAGGAAGGCACCAAAAATAGACGGTGACTGTGACTGTCACGAAAGAAGCCACAGATCGATCACTCTCTTTTCCTGTTGACTGCTACCGTGTTATCTCGCGCACGCGCGCCCTCTTTTTCGATCATGACAATCAGAAGCCTGATTGGTGAACAGTAGGAGGAAACGGAGAGTAAATGCGTGAAATTACTCAGCTGTAGACATTTGCATTAGTTAGCTAAAAAAAGGTATGATGAACAATTCGTTTGAGGTAGTCCCATTGCCCTTTGGGCCGAGAGGCCGGGTTCAAGACCCGGGAACTTTACCCTACGTGCACCCGGGAACAGGCGAGTTGTCAGGGAACTCTTGCGCGCGCTTAAACATATTCAGAACATGTACACTTCATTCCAAGATTCCCTTCTTTCGAAACAATGTACAATAAACCACGTCATTTCATTTATTTTTTTAAGAAATCGCAACGCAAGTCAGAAATGTATTCGAACACTTGCCCATCTCATTTGCATATTCAACAAAGTCACTTGTACTAGTCATACATGCATATACTGTGAAACATCAACACGATTGACAGTGGAATAATGTTTGATTCCAAATTCGGTCGAAGATTTTGTTATGAGCTCCTCTCATCGAGAGTTCACCGAAGCGAGAGGAATCCTTAGTTTTTCCGAGTGAGTACTGCAAAAAGTACGCTTTCCAAAAACTTTGGAGATCTCAGCCTACCAGGTCAGTTCAGATACAGTGTTCACAGCGTCTCAAGCGACGTGGGGACCGCCTTAGTTCCTGTTCCATTTCTTTAAACGTCTACTCTAGCAAATTGCGAATTAATTCCTGAGCTGAATGGGCAAGCATCATTATATGTGTGTCATAACAGTAGATCAACCCATGTTGTTGTACTCGATTTACATGCAGTGCGGGTTGCATGTCATGCTGTACGCGGTTGGTACCAGCGACGTCCGCTTCACTACTTTTAAAGCTTACAGCATCCAGTTGTGTCATCGTCCCTGGTTTATCCACCAGTTTCCTCACAAAGTTTACACTGACAGGGACAGACGACATCTTTTTTATCAGGTAGAGAAAGGTATGATCAAAGCAATCGAAGGGTTTGGATTGTGTTGCTGTGCTCTTCGATTTTATAACTGCGGTACAAGTGCGATCTCGGAGCTTTGTGACTCAAACTGTAAAAACCAGAGCAGGAATAATAGCAACTTTTAGCCAATGCGTCTACACGGTTTCTTAAAAACCAGGAAAAGAAAAGTAGTCCACTATCTTCGGGACACGACCAAGCACTCAATACATCTTGCGAAAGGTGGCCTGATGCTTTTCAATTGCTAATGAAACTAATTATACATGTAACAGCCAATCAAATTGCGTAAAAGGAGTAATACACTCCCAGACACGTGAGCGCATGTCTCAGACACGATTTTACTTTGAGTACGGGTGACCAAGAATTGTGAAATAACACTTCGAATATGTCACGTACAATCTGATGACGACACCAACAGCCAATCAGATCACGACAAGAAAAAACAATTTACTCCCAAACTTGAACGCGTGAGAAATTACTTTTACATTGCCCAATTCTCTTAAACCGCAGTTAAGTTCTAGAAAAGGAAGAAAAATAAGGATTTCAAAGAACAAGCTCGACTTACAAAAATTACGACGATAATCTGAGAGCCATTTTTGACATATTGGAGAGAATGTCGTCTTTCATCGACGCATTGAATCGGTGGTCAAAACTTTCTTCAGGTGTAGTATGTTCTAGTCGAATCAAGCCTGTGAAAAGCAGAAAATCTGACTGAAAAACTGTAATTTTAAAATACTGATAATAAATTTATAATATATCAGCACAGTTCTCACAGAAATGAGGGTGGTTAGTGGAGCAAGCGCGTGCACCCAAACTTTGCGGTGAATAAACATGTGACTGGTTTGCACGTCAGCTGTAGCCAGCTCTAGAACGATTAACAGCTAGGAGCTCTATGATGCCTCTAAAAAGAAAACATTCATATTTAAGTTGAAGCTGATATAATGTAGAATGCTATCAAAAGTGTGGTTTTATTAAGTCGGTCAATGTGGCCAATTACTAGTCATACGTAAGCCTCTCGGACTTTGAGAGGCAAAACCCACAAAATAAGCAGCAAAGCGACGAGAGAAATGAGACACAAAATTGATTACGTTTTAATTGAAGTCCTTTCCTCTCTGTCTCAACTCTGTAACCTCCAAGTGATTGACATTTAACAGGTAATTCACTGCTGGAGTAATGTGCACGTGGTGAGAACTTATTAGCTTAAGGCATCTCCCCGATAAAACAAATTTATTTCACTAGTTTATAAGAAAATTTATGACAGCAACAAAGGAAAATCACTTATCACATCCTGAGAATTAAATGGTTAGCCACATCCAGCTCAGGAATTGTTCCCTCACACTAAACAGTATAATACAAATTCTTAAAATTCAATCTGCCCTCTGCAACCCAGTCTCATTTGCAGCTGTTCATTAGCATGTCATCTAATTCCTTAAAAAAGAAACAACATTCCTTTCCCTGTATAAGAAAATCACATTAAGCCCAAAAGCCCAAATTAAGAATGAAAGTTGAAATGACCTTTACTATTAGCAAGCAGCAATGTGTTTCATCTTTTGGTAAAAGTCCTTTATCTTCAAAATCTAACAGCTGTCTAAAACTCCTTAGTAGGGGTAAAGATCTCAATAAAGATAAAACAGATAAAATTTAATCAGTCTGAAAGTCTGGACTAGTTATAGACTATGTTTCACCTTCTCTATTTACAAAAATTAAAGTTCAAATAACATATAATTAAACAATTATTAAATTTTAAATTTATTTGCAAAATATTTTGACACATTTAAAAAATAGTTAAATTGCTTGCTCAATTTAAAAATCTTAATGTTTCAATATTATTATTTTTTTCAATCTGAAGAGAGACAAAATACTTTAATTCTTTTCAACACTGTTAATATTGCTATTAATTGTTACACAGTTTTACTTGATAGATTAGCGGATTTGTGTGTTACACAAGAAAAAAAATATTTGTAGTTCAAGATGGCTGGAATTCAAGCCAAAAACTATATAATTTAGGTAATTTTCTGCAAGACAGGTGCAAGAAAATTAGACTGCTGTGCAAGAGTAGTAAGTCCATGCAACAGAAGGAGTTGTCTCTCTGCTCTCTCACATTCAAGTTACTCTTATTCCAGTAGAACATCACGCAAGCCAGAACTTGCTTCATATGCAAAGAGTTTCACTCATCCAGTGAAAGTCTCTTACTGATCCAATGTGTAAACAAATAACACTTAGTAATGTAACCACATGCATAATTTGATGACTGTTTCCAATGATATCACATTTTCCTGGAAACCATCTCTCGGGTATTCTGGCAACATTGAGTGCTCCACCGATAAAAGCTAATAAATCCATTGATAAATAATACAGCATAGCACTGACGCTGCTTTTGGTAACATTAAAATAATAAAATGATAGACGAACTGCGACAAAGAAATACCTCATCACACCAAATACTGCAAAAGGTTTGAACCGTTCTTTAGCATTGTCAGCTATCACAATAAAGTATAGACACCTCAAGGAAATCACCAAATAAACTGTAAGAGACAAAAACTGCCAAAATGGAAGGCAGTAAAATGTTGCACGGATACCACACAAAGCACCAAAGGCATTGATTGCCCAGATACCACAGACGTCCAAAGTGAGTAGATGCTTGTATGAATCCTGTCCATTTTGATGACACATAAATAAATGATAAATAGGGCTAGCCAAGAATGGAGCAAAGCAGGAGAAATAGTGAAGAAAAAACCATAGTGGGTTGGCCAGACTTGCTGCACTTGCTGTCATGGGGATTAGCACCACAAAAAATGCACAGGGAATACCTGAAATAAATAGGTGAAATTGTTTCATTAAATCCTTTAACCTTTAACTCCCGTAAGTGAACAAGACAGAATTTCTCCTTACGAGATCAATACAATATCAACTGTATAAGTGATGAAAAAAAAAAATAAAATGTAGTTGGGGATAATTAGTTGATCCCATACTGAATTCTCTGAACTTACATTATAAGAATTTTATGGTTGACAATAAGAAAATCACAAATTTGATCTGAGAGTTAAAGGGTTAAATCCCAAAAGTAATTAACATTTAAGTTCTACCTATAATTGCCATAAATTGTTCAGGGAATAGGCAATGAGAAAACTCAAATTTATCAGGTAGAAGTTGTTATCTTGATCAAACACCAAATTCTTGTACTAACAAATTTACAAGAAAATGTTTAACATCTATAGGTGATTAACAATCAGATCTTGGTAGTTAAAGGATTTAATGTTCTTGACCTCACTTTTGGATAATAACAAACAGAGAAGCCATCAATTTAACAACAGTCAGCATGCGTTACGTTCATCGAGATATGAAGCATGCGGGAAGTTTGGAGGGCACAAAAGATGCATAAGAGTTGCTCGAGGCATAGCCAACTCTTGCTTCTTGAGTGCTCTCCAAACTTCCCAAGTACTTCATATCCTGATGAATGCACAGCTGACTCATGAACCAATTGTTTTATAACATTTTCAACCCGATGGAATTTTTTTTTCTCAAGGGACTTGTTCGCTGACGTCATGAACGTGCACATTAGGAATAAGAAGCACACTCGTGTAATTGAATTTGATGACACAAATTTACTAGCTATGTTATAATAAAAATTAATGTTTAGAAAGTATATTGAAACATTCTGACCCAATCAAAAGAAGTGAAACCAAAACCTAGTACAGCTGAAAAAAAAACATTGAAAGAAGCATGTAGGTCTTAATTCAGTTTAACTTCAATGTGTGCATGTTAACTTACACTTGAGTTAGATTTCCTGATCGAAAAAAAAATATTACATCAAGTTAATATTAAATGAGTTTTAAGTTAATAAATTAATAATCGGATGTGCTGATGTCTGTAACTTTTCACGAGTTCCTATTTCTCTCTCCAAAATTCCCGAAGTTTGCGTTAAATAACAAAGCAGTAGAAACATCTAAAACTATTTTCTTACTTACCGTGCGAATAAATGTTGAACGTTTCGTTGTGGACGTAAAACAAGCTGTCTACGCATTGGCGCGTTGATAAGTTACATCGATAACTTCCCCGAATATATTTGTTAAATTGCAGCCATGGAGGACAAGATTCTAGTTTAAATAGAATCGGCGCTTTAGATATTTTCTTCTCTTTGGTGTGGTTATCTCTAAGATGATTTATAGAGCCGTTTTTCGCCATTATTAAGGGTTACTGATACATTCCATAACAACCGGCTTTCTCGACCACACTAAGAATAAAGTATTATAATAATTAAACTAAAAAAAGCCCTCAGCCCAAGGCTCACTCGACCACCGTGGTGCCATTGAATGATGGGTAAAATCAAAGATGGCGGACGAACTTGATGTTGATGACCTGAAAGCTTGGATGTACGAAAAAGCTAAATTGCAGTGCAGTCCCTTGGTAAAAGGTATTAAGTCTAAGGTTGATTGACACTAGGTATTACATGGCTTTTCTCTTATTTGGAAATTTGCGTTTGGAAAGAATTTAAAATTCATTATTATCTCGCAAAGACTCTTATGATATTTTGCCAACGTCGTACATATTTCCCTGAAAAATCTGTACTGTGGCCAAAAAATCTCGCTTTGTATGCAGAGTATGGTAAATGGGCGTTCATTTGCACGCCAGAACCATAGATTCGCTCATGGAAGCTGGAGAAGTAAGAGGTTATACCCTTCAGCACGCGCGTGCGAATTTTGGATTTTTTTTATCATATTATTGTATGCGGTGAATGTTGCTGAAAATGAAAAATGGTTGATGTGGTAGCCAGCTTTATTATGAGAAAGGATAATACCCCTATCACCGCATTAAATTGCTTCTGAAACAAAAGTAAACTGATATTTAACCTTTCACTCCTAAGAATATATCGATGTGAATTCTCTATACTGAATGTTATATATTTCATACAATTTTATCTCTAGTAGATCAGACAGGCAATATCCTAAAGCTTATATTTTTCTTTCTCTGCTTGAAAATAAATTATATTGATGCATTTTCCATTTGGAAAAATTACTTTTTGGTCTTAAATGGGAATGTAACAAAGTTTAAGATGTATAACTATACCACCTTGCTAAGCTCAGGTCATGTCAGTTTATTTTTTGTAGAGCTATTGAGTTTAAGTATTGCCTTCACTCAGTTTTGTATTTCTTTGTTCACAAGCCTTTCTAGAATGTGCACAGGACCGTACCATCTCTTTAGCTTGGACTTGTCGCCCAGAACACAAAGCCATGAAACAGTGTATGGAAGGATTGTAAGTAAAACCTTAGTCCAGTTCTCAAGACCAGTAACAGTGTGGAGGGGGACAGGAGGGGGGGGGGAGGAACCTGGAAGATCAGGGGCAGGAGAGGGTGGGAGCTATATGAGGGCAGGGAGTGAGAGCACAAATCATAAAGGAGCTTTTCTGTAGTTTCCCACTGCTTATCTTCTAGTCAAAAACCAGCACCCACTTAAGTTTTTTCACTCCCATTTGATGTCCACTGAGGCATAAAATAAAATTTTATAAGCAAGGAAATATAGTTTTTTTCTTAGGCTGAAAAAAACAGCATAATACTGGTGAAATTGGATACCTATTGAATTTGGTTATGTGATTGGTCATGAATGAATTTTTAAGTGTCTTGCAAGTTGCAATAGTCCAAATTCTCCAGCAATCAATGAGAGTCAGGTTGAATGTTGTCAGAGACTAAATTGATCAGGTTTGTGATCCTTTTTATTAAACCTGTATATAGGAGTTATTCAATGGAGGGTGGGAGTCAGGAGGCAGAGGGGCATAAAAGTATGGGAGGTGGGAGGCTGTGATCCCCTGTCCCTCCCCCCCCCCCTTCAACAATGACATAAGCACTCAGTGACATGCAATGATCAGTGTGACACACTTGACTGGGCTTTGCATGTCACTTGTTTGTTCTTAACACATTATGGCATTATATATGATACATTACTGAAAATGGGATGGCAACTTGGAATCTAATTGTTAATCTCAATACAGTCTTGATTAACAGTTGTAGAACTGTTATGTTAGGGTGAAAAAAAGCACAACCCTCATCTGTGTTCCTGTAGAACAAGCTGGAGAGACTTTCCCCTAAAAACTATGACTGTTCCTTCCATTGAACTGTTCAAGTAATTAAAAAACTTGTTCCCTTGTTTGTGCCAACCTTGTCCTAAGCTAAGGGCGAATAGTTTGAGTTTTCATGATGATATTTTTTGCTTTTCATTTCAGCTATAGAAAAGCCAACTTTAAAAAATACAAGGAAGAATATTTAAGAACAGTCAAGGGCAAGTAAATGAAGAACAAGTTTTTGAGAATTCTAGATCACTGGTGATCCTTCAAACTGATGTGGATCACATTCTGTTCACGATAACTGCCTGGAAGAGAAAGAACTGTGAACAAAATGATGTCAAGAGACAAATTAGAACATTATTCTTTTCATCACTTCTTTTTAGTTGTGCTTTTGATTTTTCAAGACAGATATAACCTTTGTTTAAAAAAAAAAAGAGTGGAAGCAATTTTAGCTTACAGAGCAGGCATAGTTTTGGTGAGCAAGTGCTCAGAATTTTTTTTTAGTGAAAATTATAGCTGCCATCTTTGATTTTTACAGCCGCAGAAGGCTGAGGAGAGAAAGAAATTTGTACCAAGTGGTTGAGCAATGCCCAAAAGGAAGGTGGTGGGCCAATAGAAATTACCTCTCCCCATCCCCTCCCCCCACCATCCGCTTAAACTCTTAATCAAACATGACTGGTCAATTAAACAATCATGAGAAATTGCCCTAGTAAAATTCTTTATTTAATTTTTGTGCATCACTTTTGTGATGGAGTATCATCAAGGAAAAGTTGGCTCTTTTTGACAGAAAAGATACTGTTTGGTAAAGTTGTTGCATATTTTTGCCCAGAATACCAACTTTAATATTTCAAAACCAAATAACTTTTTTAAAAATATACATTAATAAATGAAAATGATTAATGTATGTTTTATGTCATTTAATCCACTGAAAAACATAAAATTAAAAAGAAATGACCTAAAATTACATTCTCACAGTTCACCGGTTCAGTTTTCTGGTCAACCAGTTATTAGTAATAACTTGAGCTGGTAATTAGTTCCCATTCTGATTTGCTTTTTTCAATGGCTTTTATTTCTTTGACATTACAATGCTTGGCACAACGCATTTGTACGTAAGCCTGGCATTATTTCTTCTCTATATAATTATACACAAACATAAAAAGAAAATGCTCTATTGAAAGTTTTCCTTAGCAATAAGTATATGCAGTACAATCCCCAGGTTTCATAGAGTCATGGTCAGCCCTGCTGGGCAATAAATACTGGTCTGCTAGAGGAGGCCAATTGGCAAAAGTCCCCCCTCCCCCCCCCCTCCGACTATTTAGCTATTGGGAACTGGTCTCAGTTAAAAATTTTAAACAAACACTGAGCAACTACCCAGTGCCTTTTTCACACATATTCTCCTCCTTTTTGTTTGTGTTTTTTGCTCATCCTTTTTGCTCCATCCCCAGAAGACAAACGTGCTCATTGAAAAGCACTGGTTACAAGATTGACCGCTGACACTAGATAGCGAACAAACTGTACGCTCGCAAAGACTGATGGGTTATTTTCAATATGGCTACTACCGAGAAAGAAAGTGGACAAGGTGAGGTCTCCGATAAAATCGCACCTTGGGCAAGCGGAGAACATTTGAGGCATGTAGAAACAGAAGTCATTATCCCGAAAATCTTAAGAGAGAAGGCAAAGGCTAAATGTGATGATCTCGTGCAAGGTAAGCTGTCCTCGCTTTCTAATACAAGTTCTTCTGAATTCTTCATTGCATAATTACGTGATCTGGGTAACGATGCTGGCTTTTTTGACAGCTTTTACGCAGTGTGCAAAAGGGAGAACTGTATCAATTTTATGGACTTGCCGCAAAGAGAATCAAGCGATGAAAGACTGTTTGACTAGCTAGTAAGTATTGAAAATTTCGTTAAACGTTCAGAAGTACGTAATAAGAAGTACCAAAAACATTTAGTTTACTTTATTAATCTTTGTTAACGACTTTGCCTGTGGTTTCCAGTATAGACCAAACGCTTTTTCAGGGGTAGAATTTTAAAAGAGTTTAAACACGCGCTGAAAAAATTATCAAAAGCAGTAGAAAAAGTAAAAAGTAGCTCCATGAGTGATGCGCTCAAACAACAGGAACTACAGACTAAGCCCAAGAGTTTGACCATCTATGGCTGAGTGATCTTTGGGCGTCAAATTTTAATCTCAATTTCATTGCAACACAAGGTGATCTCAAAAAATTAAACCGTTTTAAATTTCAAGGAGCACAATAAACTGGAAATTTGTCAAATGTTTCAGTAAGGATGACTCCTGTGAATAAATATCATGAGATGTTTAGGAAGGGTAAACTAGTCAAGGAACCATTGTGGAATGACTTTTGCAGTATGTGCTTGCAAAAACACATGCTTTACATTGTCTGAGATTTTTGTGAAACAAAACACAAAAGGAGGGACTGCTTGTAGTCTAACATAGCCCTTGATTGTTAAACAAATTTTCCTTGTCAGCACCTTAGGAAATGTATAGAGAACAATTTGGAGAGAGTGAATACTAATATATGGGTGTAAAGGATTAAGGATACTCACAACCTACAAACCTGGGGTTTGGTCAGAAATCAAGAGGGCCTGCTCTTACATTTAACACTGCATCCATATTTTACTTTTATTTTCAAAAGTCCTTTTTGCATTGTTGTTGTTTTTTAAATGTCAAACATAATCATAGTAATAAAGTTATCTTTATTTTCTTTCAGCTACCAGGACAAAGAACTTTTTGAAGAATGTCGACAAGAGTACCTGAAGAAAAGAGAAGATTATCAAAAGGACTTTGCTCAGTCTGGAAAGTCAGCAAATCTGACAAAAAAAGAATCAACAATATAAAACAGAATTGAATGATCACAATGTGAAAAAAACTGTTACAATAAAAAGAGCTGGAGAAGTTACACTTCTGGTTTTACCCATAAAATCTCCTCTCTAATTGGTCTACATCCCTGTGAACAAGAGGAGAGAATTTGGTGTTAAGTTCAGATCACATTCTGCTCCTTATAAGTAGAACTAACATGATAAGCAGAAGTTCTATTTAAAACCATCTGGAAGCTAAAAAGCAGATTGAAATTAAAGATGGAGCTGGTGTGTCAACGCACTCAAAATATGAGAAAGAACATTTTATTTTGTGTAAATATCTTTTACAGTTGATTTCACTTTGAAGTTGAACATGATATTGCAGTTTAGGTGCTAACTAATCACATGCAATGGTTATGAGAAGAATAGTGTCATTTTTCAAGAATACGGTAAACTTTCTCTAACTGCATCTTCTCCTACTAGCCCTGTTTGAACAAACCCTGGAAATAAGGCACATAAGAGCATTTGCAGTAACTTGAATGTGTACAGCATTAAACTTGAGTAGTAAACTAGTCAATCTTCAAAGAAAATAAAAACATTATAAAACAATTTCTCATGCACATCTTTCTTATATTCTGATTCAATCATAGTCTTCACTATCATCTTTTTTCTTAATTTTCAAAAGGTTTAGCACTCCATTCAGGATTGTATGCAAATATCCATCTTGGATTTCATCTGCAATGTCAGACCCTTTATTGACCTCTTTTGTAACAGAGTCTTCGTTAGCTTCTTTTGAAGTAGAGTCCTCATCAGCCTCTTTTGAAACAGAGTTTTCATCTAGTTCTTTTACACCAGAGTTTTCATTGATGTAATTCCTAAGAACTGCCAGTGGAAGTGGTAGTGGTAACCATAAATGATAGAGTCTTAAAGATGTGCCATGTGTTTTGATACGTTGCAGTCTTGACATGGAAGACAAAGCTGCTCCTAGTGAGAAGAGAGAAGCTGCTGTCATTGGTGAACTGGTTCTACTACTGTAACTCATTTTGGATGTGAAATCCAGCTAATTTCCCACAGCTTAGAACAATGTCAACTCTCATTACCTGTTTGCTGAGTTATTTAGTAATATTGCCATGAGAAGTTGCACGTCAATCAAAAGTGGGAGTTAAAAAAGTCAAAGGCCAAAATTTAACATCAGTCATCAATTAAATAGAGATTCTCTAATTAAAAAAAAAAAATTCTTAACTCTTAAAAAATTAAGTTATCACTTCTGGTTAAACAGGTGAAGAGCAAGGAAGTGACAATTGACTTTTGCCTTATCGGCAAAAATATTTGCAGTGTAACCAATTTCACATACACTGTCTACTTCATCTAATCATAAATTTTGCATGCAGTAACAATGATTTTTCAATAGTAAACATGCATGTACTAGTACTTTTATGCCTCTTAAACAATAGTCCTAGTTTATGAACTTTCACCTTGTAAATATGAGCAGTGGGTGCACTGTGGATAAAATCTTTGTTGCTGTCCTTCTCTAACCAACTTATTCGGAGGTATGTGGTCCCCAACAAAAGATGTCCACCATCGTCTTCCACAGGAGTGACAGCCATATTCCCTTCCTGCACAAAATATAATGACAAACTAAGCCTGGCACCCACCATCAGATTCAGTCGATCAGTGCTGCAGATATGGTGTTGATCAAACTATAGATAATTGCTCAGTGCTAGCAAATGAACAGGACTTGTACAGTGCACTTGTTCGCGGGCTGTACTCAGCAAAACTCACCCAACAAACGAAGCCTTCTTCTAACAGTTGCAGATGCATAATTCTGTCCTTTGGCTGGAATGTACTTTCTAGCAAATGCTCCTGGATGAATCAAGCTGCTTGGTAACACTGATCGAAATCGTCCTCCCAAGATCCTAAACACGATCAAACTCCCAAATCCACACAGTGGAACATCCGCGGGACGCACTGAAATCGCTAATGAATATTCGTTTGGAACATGAACATACCCTTGGCGTTTTTCTAGTGAAGTTTTGTGCCAATCTTTTTTTCCGATAAATGAAAAGCTCGATAGAAGCAACAGTGAGGCACAACCCCCTGATATGAATACCGAAATACAACCACAGACAGGAGCGAACAAAAGGTTTGAGGAAATACGTAAAGGACGAAAAATTCCAGTTTGTAAACATCCTAAAAATACTGGAAACGTTATTCCAGCAACTGCGCTAGAAAATAATGCATCTGATAAATATATTCGTATAGATTTCTCTTCAGATGAAGTGGCACAATGCCAAATTTTATCTCTAAGAACGCGACACTTTTCAAGAGCTTCCTGTACAAATTCGACCGCCATTTTATCTTGGTTTTGGTTCCCAGACCCCTGAAGATGCTTTGCTTCGTTGACTTGATCCATTAATCAAAACTTACTTAGACAATTAAAAAGAGGTCACTGCCACGTTTGAAAGAACGTTTTTTATATCAAGAGTTGTGCATCAGGAAAAAAAACACACCATCTTTATTCCGAAATCATGATTTCTTCCGATTAAAATTATATTTAGGGAAGAAAAATAATTGCACTACTTACTTTATGGTAATTGGAGATAAATGTAAACAATGTTCTTGCTCGTAAAAGTTCGTGCTCCAAATTGCATTAATTTAACAAGAAAATGAGCTGATGCGTCATTTTAATCCTGATATCTTAACGTAACGCTGCTGTTGAAGTTTCACAAATCTACAGCTGAGTGAGGCATGGCGTTCTTTCCCACTTTTTCAAACACAGGCTTAGTAGTCGTATATTTGGTGACATTTCTTTTCCCAGTGAGTGACTTAATTTCATTTTAAGGATTTTTTAAAATACTTTGACGATGTGAATATCGGCAAAATTAGTCACAACTGACTACGCAGACGAATAGGGCGAAACTATAAAAAAATATTTATGTTTACAACGCTCGGACTAAACGCAAAATTTTGCCACTCAATTTGAATAATCACTCTCAAATAACAGTTGTTTTTCATGGTTACTGGTAAGCCAATAAACATACTGTCGTCATCTCGTTTACAAAAACTGGTAAGTAAGTAAGTAAGTAAATAAATTACTGACTTTTCGTGTCTTTTCGTGAAGCGATCGGTGGCTTGTAATGGAAACGAAAGTTGAGAAGTTTTTCTTTGTAACGTCTTTTCAGCAGTTTAAAAGTGAAAATTATATTTATGGAATGAATGATCCGTAGTAATTATTTGAGTATGGAATTTTGGGAAAGATTAAGCAAACTCTCTATGAAATGCGGCACTGGCGATCTTTGATTGTTTACGATCTGATATGGAGCACGAGCCATGGGCTTGTTGATTTAATTCAATCATCTAATGCAGACACAGGCGGCTGAATTTACTTATCAGTAATTACACAAGAATAATCCTGTGCTTTTCTAGCAGATCAAACTTGTGGAATTCACAGCCGCATATCTTTAATTCCACTCTAAGAAAAAAAAACTTGCGATCACAAAAAATGCATTATGCCGGCGGGGATCGGGAATGAAGATGCTGAATATTCAGTTTCTAATTAACAAATAGATTCCAAGTTGCCGTGCGTCTGTTCAGTAATAGATCACAGATGACGTCAAAATGTGGTAAGAACAAAAAAGTGGCACACGAGGCTCAACCGAGTGTGTCACTGATGTTCTTAACACATTTTGACGTCCTCTGTGATCTATTCCTGAACAGACGCACGGCAACTTGGAATCTATTTGTTTTATATAATCAAGAATTGAAAAAAAGTTTTAATGATGACGTCATCTATACGTCTGTCCTCCAATAGATCATAAGTGAGAACCAATCAGAGTGCGTGCATAACTGAGCTTATTATATAATTGTATATTTTCCGTTTTTCTAAGGTCACTCCTTCCTGTTTTTTCCAGTCCGCGTGCTCAACATACCCCTGCAAGGCACAGGTAAGTTACGTGGCTTTTTATTACCAAAAGTGCCCCACGTCCCGGATGTTTGAACACAAGCCAGGAAAACTGGATCGACTTCACGAACTCGAGACTACCTTTAGAAAGACAACCTTCGTCATTTTCAACTGATATTTTTTTGAGTACCATTGCACAATTTGAAATGGTTCTTGTTAAATGTAAACAAGGAAAAGAATGGCGACACGAATGATAAATGACGACAAAATCTTGTTTGCCTTTTTTTATGACATCAGGAGCCCATTACCCCTGACGACATTTTATTCCCGAAGATTTTATTAGGAAGCTTCTATTTCATGTAACTGGCCCATTTTTTCGAACTTACTCAAACACTTAGTGAAGTTATATGGTAAATTAATGACCATCTTAGTTCATATTTCATTGATAATTTTTGAATGAACATAAGGTGCTAAATAACTTCTAAGTAAACTTGTCAATATTCCTTTTTTGCAGCAAAGAGTTATCTATCATCAAACCATGACTCCATCTTGGCTGGAGGCGCATGCGTCCTATATTGACAGCTCTCGTTCGCTAACTGCTGCACAGCTCACTTTCAACGCAGGCTCTAAGAAGAACCCTGCTCTACTTAAAGTTCCCATGATTCCTGCGGGTGTGCTTAAAGATTCAACACCGCTGACTGTTGAGATCACGGTCGCAAATGGTGTTAACATTGGCCAGACGAAAGACAGCGATATTCGATATGGCGTGTCAGATGGTATCAGAATGATCGGGTTTGAAACACGTGACAAAAGGAATTATGGTACAGAGTCCCCATGCTACAGAATAGAAGGTGATTCTGGTCGCACCTTAAAGTCTGCTCGTCGCGGACCGTTGAAGCCGAAACCTACCGACTCTTTCTACCCCGGCCAGTTTATCATCACCCTCAAGTTGGATGAACGTTGGGGGTCATGCTACATTGCGCATGACGGAGGCTTCGTGAGGACCGCTGGCTACATCAACCGACTAATGCCCAGTAAGGGACTCACTCTGGAGGTGTACAAATCTGACGAGGGTGAAAGGGTTGGAATCAGGTTTATCAAAGTCTCCATCATAGAAGATGATGCATAGAAGAAAAAGCTCTCACAGAGTGTGAAATCAAAACCAACAGATTCAGAGAAGGTCGAGCATCTTATTAGAAATGCAAATTAGATTGGAGTTCTAAAACATTAAGGCCTGCTGTTTTTTCTTTTCTTTTTTTTTTTTTAACCCTTTTAAGGTAAACTGCGGCTAGAAGGGTAACTTAAGTGGGGAAAACTGTAAGGAAGCTTTGATAAATAAATAAAAGAAGAACTGACATTTTACTATCACGACTGTTTTTTTTTTTTTTGTTTTTTTTTTCTAGCAAAAGGAAAGCAAAAGAAAGGGAGCAAAACAAACAGATTGGTAACGATGAATTGAAAAATCATGTCAAGTCATAATGAAACATATACGGGAGATAGACTTAAAAGGAAGCAGAGATATGTATAAGTTCAAATCCGCACCTTAATTATCTCTCATTCCTTTCCGTAAGCGAGTTAGTGAACAGATGTGACTGTGGCTCCGCCTCAGAGAAGACGAGGCCACTATACTGGTAGTGTTTTGATCCTCGGTCTATTTCGGTTCGTTTGCAGGTCATTACTGAGGCAAATTACGGAAAGGAGGGTGAAACATAAAAGACACCGTGACAACATGCAAATGAGCCGTAGCAAAAGATAATAGACCAGTGATTAAGAAGTTGTTGGGAGGATATGGGGCACTCAGAAAGAAGGGGGGG